TTTATACAAGATTCATGGCAGTTGTTTCGTTTTGAGTTTATATCCCGACCGCTATATAGCAGTCTTCTTACCTCTGAACTTAAACAGTGAAAACGTGTGTGTTCCGCTCCTGCAAGGTTTGTCCAGTCCCGCCCGCTCTCGCAAACATTCTAATATTGCATATAATTTTCGCGTATCAGGGAGCATCTATCAATGGGGAATATTTAAAACTTTTTTGAATGAGCACTCGCGTTGTTCACTTTCGCGATCACGCGCACTCTGTGCAAAGGGAACGCATCTTTCGATATAAGATATTTGTCAATGAGCTCCGGATCTGTTGAGTAGCAAATCCTCCACCATGGTCTTGTAGGTCATCCCTCCTCTCGACCCATGATCAGTCAAATCTGACTCCTGCAAGCACTTAATTGTTCCCCCTTTACTCGTACTGCACAAAAAGTGGTTCAATAGCATTGAATGTTACAGGGACAGATTAATGCAAATGCAGATGCCACTGTGTTCTGGTTAATATATATATATATATATATATATATATGTATGTATGTGTGTATATAATATATATACTTTTGCTAAGGTTTGCATATGGTGGTCTGTTCTAAATGACAGTTTTCCTAAAATTATATCAAAACGCTAAAGCACCTGGTATTCCCAGGCGGTCTCCCTTCCAAGTACTAACCAGGCCCTACCCTGCTTAGCTTCTGAAATCAGACGAGATCAGGCGCAGACTTTTTTTTTTTTTTTTTTTTTTCAAATAATAGCTTGCCCAAAAATGAAAATTTACTCACCCTCAAGCCATCCAAGATATAGATGAGTTTGTTTCTTCATAAGAACCGCTTTAAAGAAATGTAGCATTACATCACTCGCTCTCCAGTGGATTCTCTGCAGTGAATGTGTGCTGTCAGAATGAGAGTCCAGACAGCTGATAAAAACATCACAATAATCCACAAGAAATTGTCACGATTTGCCTACTGGAGGAGCGAGGAGACGTAGGAGTTAACTCAAAACGAGAGTCTTTAATCATCCAGGAGGGAAACACAGGGCTAACAGGAACAACAGCATAGCACAACATGACATAAGACACCAGACAGAAAGCAAGGGGCAGACCACACTATAAATACACAACTCAATGAGAATAATTGGGGAAACACAGGTGAACGGAATGACTAATTAGACAGGGGAGAAACTAGGTAACTGGGAACACATGGGGAGGAAAACACACTGATAGGCCAAGGGTGTGACTGTAATCCACACCACTCCAGTCCATCAATTAGCAGGTTGTGAAGTGAAAAGATAAATGTGTTTGTAAGAAACAAATCCATCAAGACGTCTTTAATTTCAAATCATTGCTCCTGCTTCCTGTTGAAAACCGTATAAAATATTTCTAAACAAATATGTGTGTGGCTTTTGATGTGAGAGGACAACAGGCGATGGACTTTATTATGGATTTACATTATTATGGATTATGGACTCATATTTTGGCCAAGAGCAATGATTTGAATTTAAACACGTTTTAATGATAGATTTGTTTCTTACAAACACACAGTTTTTTACTTCACAAGATGTTAACTGATGGACTGGAGAGGTGTGGATTACTTGTGGATTATTGTAATGTTTGTATCAGCTGTTTGGACGCTCATTCTGATGGCACCCATTCACTGTAGAGCATCCATTGGTGAGCAAGCGATGTAATGCTACATTTCTCCAAATCTGATGAAGAAACAAACTCATCTGCATCTTGGATGACCAGAAGGTGAGTAAATTTACAGCAAATTTTCATTTTTGGATGAACTATTCCTTTAATGTATCTTTAAACTGATACTCACAAAGATTGTAAAAAGAATAAGATTCCATGGAAACTGCCTCCTGCAATACAGAAATGAAAAGATGGATGCCAATATTATATTATAATGTTTTCCTAATTATTTTCCATATAGAGATGAGTGTATAACCAGTACATTACCACAACTGCAATTTATTAACAGTGTATTGACTTACCTCAAATCACCGCAGCAAGCCAATGAGATATATGTGACAAGAAACAGAAGACTGCAAAACACAGACATAGCTTGAGATACAGATCCAGTGAGGATACTGAAATAAATTCCCAAGCGATGAACATTTTAAAGCAGTAAACATTTGAATGACTGATTAAACTGTAGTTTCACGTACTTGGACCAGGAGTATAAAACAGGATGTGTTTGAATGTACATCCTCACTGGAGCACTAAATCAGACAGAAATGGGTCAGCAGTGTCAAATAGTCAATATGAAATATAATATGCTTACACATAATTGATTCATAACATAAATTATTGTTCAAAAGTTTGGGGTCAGTAACATTTCATATTTATGCATTTAGCAGACATTTTTATCCAAAGCGACTTACAGTGCATTCAGGCTATACATACTTTTTTTTTTACCAGTATGTTTGTTCCCTGGGAATTGAACCCACACCTTTTTGCGCTGCTAACACAATGCTCTACCACTGAGCCACAGGAGATTTTGTAATGCTTTTGAAAGTAGTCTCTTCTGCTCACCGAGGCTCATTTATTTGATCAAAAATAAATACAGTGGAAAACAGTAATATTGTGAAATATTATTACAAATTAAAAGAACTGTTTTCTGTTTGAATATAATGTAAAAAGTAATTTATTGCTGTAATGCAAATCTGAATTTTCAGCATCATTACTCCAGTCTTCAGTGTCACATGATCCTTCAGAAATCAGTCTAATATGCTGATTTGCTGCTCAATAAATATTATCAGTGATAAAAACAATATTTTTGTGAAAACTGACTGTCCTCCAGCTATTGACTGTTAGTGTAATTCAGTGCTGAGACATTGTCACATATCATACCTTCAAGATTTACAGATCAAGAATCAGTTACTCACCAGAATGTGAAGAGAGCAATAACTGCTACTGTTGAAAAGAGCTGCAGCATCAGAATCGAATAAACCTGCAAGAATATGATAAGAGTAAGAGCAATATTTTTTTGCAAACATTTTGATTTGATAGTCCTCTATACTTTACATAATTAAGTTGAAATATTTAAATTGCTAACCTTTCGTATAAAAACTCGTCTAATATACATGTCATCCCAGGAAAAAGTTCCTTCACCATAGTAGTAACCAGGACATCCTGCAAAGAGAAAATAAAATAAAAACCAGAAAATATTATATATCTGACAAAAGGCAGAATGTTAGTTCTAATGAATAAATGAATGAATGAATGAATGAATGAATGAATGACTGCACAGCCATACCTGCATTTGCCTCTTCATAGCTTGGAGGCATGTTTCCTTCAACAGTTTGGACTGTTGGTGCAACCTGTGAATACAAACATATTGAGAAAATATTAACCTCTTAAGACCCGAGAAAAGATTTTTAGGAAAAAAATAGTTTTTTTCATGTCTTTACATTGTTTAGAGCATAAAAAACAATGTTAAAAATGATATTTCATTCATAAGTTATGCTATGTCCTCGGTAGAGGACATCGGGACTCAATTAAAAAAATAAATAAAAAGACATGAATGAACATGCATAGGCAAAAACAATAGATTTTTTTAAATCACCAATACATTTTTAGTTTTCAGGATTTTTTTTTTTTTTTTACCAAACATTGTATAAAGATGATTCTCAACTATGTTATGACAGAATGATTTGATATACCATTTTTCTTTCTGCAAAATGTGTGTAAAATGGCCATAAACGGGTTTTCTCATTATATACAATGTATCTATAAACTAAATCTAATTTGCATATTAATGTGTTTTTGGGGCAACCAGTAATGAAAAAAGAAGTGTAATAACTGACAAGATTTTCTTAATAATATATAATATTGAAATAGAATATTGAAATAGAATTTCTTTCCTTATTCATTTGTTGTGTCTCCCAAAATGCTAATAAACATGCTTTTAGTCCCAGTGTCCTCATATGAGGACATGTATGAAATCAACATCCTGTTTCGTAACAGAAAGTCATATTTTGATTTGAAACCCCATAACATTTTCCTGAGATGTTGATTTATGACAGACAGTTTAAAAATTAGACAGATTTAAATGATAATTACAAAATATTATCATATTTCCATAAGAGTGTCACTAAATTAATATCAGAAATTTTTGATGACCAAGGAGAGGGAGAGGTCATAGTGAAACATCCAAACATTTAGTATCTCTGAAAAGCCCTGAATGTGCTCTTTACAGGACATCCAGACTTAAAACTGTGGCATGTATAGTCTCAGAGAAATACACCAAAATATAATGTCCTCATATGAGGTCTCAGGGTCTCAGGAGGTTAAGGGCATGTGATATAGTGTGCTATCAATGCTGCCAAATAATGACCTGAAATAATCATTTAATTTAAATTAATACACTGAGCAAACTCTCATCTTTGGTAAACACATATACAACAAGAAAGCAAGAAAGAAATCTTGGATAAAATGTTTGCATAACTGCAGTTTTGCTTATAAGCTCATAGATATGATCCAATCCAGTTCAGAAATGAACAGACCTGTGCAAAATAAACCATCAGATATAGGACAGATCATTTAGATTTCATGCATGATTGCAAGATTTAAGATTGTCACTTCAATTTTGAAAATGTTTTATTTAGAGAATGAATAAAACTGGTAATGTTTTATAAGGAAGCTTGAGCTGTAAATAGTCCGAATAATCTCCTGCCGCTATAGAAGCAGTGTCTTCTGAGGTTTTACTACACTGCTTCTGAAATATTGTTCTATGAACATAAAATCTTTCGCTCAGTTTTAATGCCACTAAATATAAACACATTATTTTATATATTGATATCATATCTAATGTTAATTCACTTCTGCTACTTTGCTTACAGTGTTTGAAGAAAGTCTCCTGAATGCTATTATATTCCATTCTATTCGAGTAATTGATAAAATGATACCTTACCTTTTACTGTCATTTTATTTATTTATTTTCCCACTGCAGTGTTGCTGGCGGATGATATGATGTGGGTTATCAGAGTCAGCAGTTGTAGTCCTTTGTGCTGGATGTGGGTCAGTCTGTGCTTCATGTGTGCTGCAGTGCAGATTTACTCCTGTCTGATATAGTGTCTATTCAGGCTAATCCCTCTTACATTCCCATCGGTCCCTCCTCCACACAGGGCTTTAAGAGTTCATTCTAGCAACGTCCCAGTGCTGGATAGCATGATGGGACTGAGCGGGAAAATACCACCTTCAACACAGAAGTTGGGCTTTCACTTGATCTACACAACCTTTTGATCAGAAAATAGTTTCGCTATATTTAGAGTCATGTAGAATAAAGAAGCACATTATGATGGATGAGCCCAGCCTAAAGGATAAAGGTGATGCTACATAAGTACATATGAAGACGAAATCATTTTAGAAGATAATGTGTGCAGTTGGTAATAAACAACAACCACACAAATATTGACTATTTAGAGTGTTCTATGGGTCATTTCAGAAATGTGCCATTTTTTTAAAAAAATATTTATTTATGTAATGTATTTAATACATGATATGTGTCAAATAATATGTATTCAATACATATTTTCATAAAAAACAGTTATGATTGAAATAGGGTTGACATAACTTAGGGAAACAAATACACTGTCATGAATTGCTCTGAGACATGAAGGCTGAGGATCCAAACACAGTGTTTATTCAGAGGGTAATCCACAATTGTGATCCAAACAGGCTAAAGTCATAAACCATAAAAACAGTCCAAACAATAACAAGAAACACAGACAAAGAGTAGTCCAGAACAAGGGACAGAAAAAAACAAGACACAGGATAACAGGAAATAACGGCTCAGAAATGCCGTACAAAACACATGCAAGCCTTCACAGTCAATGAATGAACCAGACTATAGGATGAGCAGACAGGATTAACGAGACACAGGTGAAAATAATGAGTGCTGATGAGTCCGGGCATAGGACTATGGGAAATGAACTCCCAAGACTGCGTGACAGAGGTATGAGATGCTGGTGATCCAGACATACAGAAGTACAAAGTTGGAGACAAAAAAGGCATCTTCATGGAGAAATAAAATGAAGTTATCAAAGTTATTAGATTATTGTTGATGTAAGAAAAACGCCTCTAGTAATGAATAGCTGACACCAGCCATTACTATTCATTTGGTGTCGAATGTAATTTATTTTTATGAATTGATTCGTTACAATTTCTGTTGGCCAAAAGAATGGTTTGGTATTTCTGTACATTTCCTTTAACCCTAAAACACAACACAATGCAATTTGTAATTATACATAAAAATACAAAATATACTCAAAACACCTGTGAAAATCCATATTGGGAATTCCATCTTAGTAACAAATAAATCGGCCCCTTTTTCATGGGCTTTTCTTAGAGTGTATATTGCATTTTTACATTTTCGCCAGTTTCATCGATTGTTTTGAGTTTCATACTATGAAATTTTGCTTAAAAGCAATTATATAGACAATTTATGTGACCAAATGTGAACAATAATGAGATGTAAGCACAACAACAATGTTGTGTAGGCTATTAACAATACGAATGTATAATATTTAATTATTTAATAGCGAAGCATGTTTTGCCTGTCAGCCGGTTGTGGGTCATGTGACAGTCAGCTTTTGAAACCGTGACCTAATGGCTTTTGTAAGGCTGGTTTTGTAATGACTCTATAGTGCTAATCAGCTGTGTATTAAGAAAGTTAAAGGTTTAGAGGTTTATTTCTAGAGTGCCTGGAAGCCTCCGTGTCAGTGGTATAGTACAATTCGTGTTTATTTATACTATCGAGGGAAAGAAACATCTCAGGTAGGTATTTTTCTGTTCTGTTTTATTATATTTTTGAAAGTTCATCTTAGCTAACATGCTACTTTTGCCAGTAGAGGGAGCTCTTGCCTTTGTTATGGCCTGGTTTCAGTCCAATAGTAATAACTTTTGCCTTGACTAGCACAGGGTTTTATTTTTCTGTTCACAAATTTCTAGTTGAAACAGGAAGTTGGGGTGAGATGTAAATTTAAAATATGTATAGTTGGAGTAGTAGTAGAAGAAGAAGAAGAAGAAGTAGTATATTATTATTATTACTATTACTATTATTACTATTATAAATATATAAAAATATATTTTATACATTTATATTTTAATTTCATTAATTTATTTATTTTATATATTTTTATAGTAATACATGTATATATTGTTTGAAATAATAGTAATAACTTGTTAATAACTCTAAATAACAGCCCTCAGCTTCATTTCACAGTCGCAGCACAACTGTGTAAGGTTTCAAATGTTTCAGCTCATTGACAGCATGTTGTCTCTGCATTGGGGTAAAATGTCCTCTCAAGTAGCTGATTCTCTGTGTACAGAGCCTTATGTACAAACTGGGATGTTGAGGCCAAGAATGTCTTTCATTCTGCTCATGACCTCCACAACCAGAATACATGAAAGTAATCATCAGTGGAGGATGCACAGTACAGACAGTTGTTATTTTGTAAATTGTAAGTTTGCGTGTTGTGATGTGAGTTCTATGGGTAATCTAATATTAAATAATTTGAATTGGTGGTATTGCAAGACATAGAATAGATATTATTGCAAACTAGTTGCTAGTAAATATGTCATTAGCTCATTGTTGAATTGGGTCAACTATGTTATTTTCTGCAAATATTAAGCATGTGTATATTTGTGAAAGTATTTTATATTTATAACAAAGAACTGTAAAAGGTATTCTGGATTTTTTTTTTTTTTTTTTTACTTTTTTTTCAAAGTTAGTTAAAGGTTTAGAGGTTTATTTCTAGAGTGCCTGGAAGCCTCCGTGTCAGTGGTATAGTACAATTCGTGTTTATTTATACTATCGAGGGAAAGAAACATCTCAGGTAGGTATTTTTCTGTTCTGTTTTATTATATTTTTGAAAGTTCATCTTAGCTAACATGCTACTTTTGCCAGTAGAGGGAGCTCTTGCCTTTGTTATGGCCTGGTTTCAGTCCAATAGTAATAACTTTTGCCTTGACTAGCACAGGGTTTTATTTTTCTGTTCACAAATTTCTAGTTGAAACAGGAAGTTGGGGTGAGATGTAAATTTAAAATATGTATAGTTGGAGTAGTAGTAGAAGAAGAAGAAGAAGAAGTAGTATATTATTATTATTACTATTACTATTATTACTATTATAAATATATAAAAATATATTTTATACATTTATATTTTAATTTCATTAATTTATTTATTTTATATATTTTTATAGTAATACATGTATATATTGTTTGAAATAATAGTAATAACTTGTTAATAACTCTAAATAACAGCCCTCAGCTTCATTTCACAGTCGCAGCACAACTGTGTAAGGTTTCAAATGTTTCAGCTCATTGACAGCATGTTGTCTCTGCATTGGGGTAAAATGTCCTCTCAAGTAGCTGATTCTCTGTGTACAGAGCCTTATGTACAAACTGGGATGTTGAGGCCAAGAATGTCTTTCATTCTGCTCATGACCTCCACAACCAGAATACATGAAAGTAATCATCAGTGGAGGATGCACAGTACAGACAGTTGTTATTTTGTAAATTGTAAGTTTGCGTGTTGTGATGTGAGTTCTATGGGTAATCTAATATTAAATAATTTGAATTGGTGGTATTGCAAGACATAGAATAGATATTATTGCAAACTAGTTGCTAGTAAATATGTCATTAGCTCATTGTTGAATTGGGTCAACTATGTTATTTTCTGCAAATATTAAGCATGTGTATATTTGTGAAAGTATTTTATATTTATAACAAAGAACTGTAAAAGGTATTCTGGATTTTTTTTTTTTTTTTTTTACTTTATTTTCACAGTTGCTACGATACTAAACCCCATTCTCTGAACCAAATTCTCAAAGGCCTAAACCCATTTGTCGAATGACATGCTATTCATTTAGAGTTTTCGTTGACCTGTTGTGATTACATATTACATACATATTTAATATGTAATCACAACACATATAACAACACATTACATATATTTTATAAGTGCCAAATACAGAGTCAGAATACAGAGGAGTTTTGTGAACGTAGTTTGAAGATTTGGTTTTGTGTTTAATGTTGTGAGAAAATGGGTGACGTTTTCAAGAAATGTGTCTTAGCAATTGTGAAAAATTGTAAAGCTAATGACATTAGTGTTACTGTTCATGTAAATGTAATATGGCACAGTAACCTCAAGAGGGCAGACTTACTGTATATAATTCCATATCAAACATTATTGGGTTCATGTACTATATAGCTGTAAAATCTGGAATCCTTTATTTACATTTTATATACTTATTCATATATATTTTTATTTCTATAAATCTTAAGGATCATGTGGTTCTGGCCTCAGTGAGAGGGAGTTGTTGCAAACGTTAAGACCACATGAGAAAGGGTGTGTAATGCTAATCTTTTTTTCCCCTTCTTTCTTTGAAGAGGGCAAAATGCAAATGGAGTTTCTCCCTGTTCTTTCATCCCATTCCACAGCTGTGAGAGGTTTCATGGCATGTTTGTTTTATTTCTGTTGCCTCATCCTTATTCTACCAAGAGCAGCTTATTCTAGCATTTTATATGAAGAGGAAGTATTCACTATAACAGGCTATGTTACACTCGGTATGATCAACACTCTGTATAAACTGAATAATCTAACAATAATTATGCTAAACTGATTATTCTGTGCTACAATACTCTACTGTAAATGAAAGAAGGCAGCATTGTGATTTAATATTCAATTTGTTGATTAAAAAAAACTGTATGAAAGGAAAGAATGATTCCCATTCGCAGTTGGACCCCTGAAGCCATTATTTAAATTAAGGTGAAAATCTTGGCATATACCATACATCAGCTCCATACACATGCTGGTTCCATTTGCCTGTTGCTAGGATACCATTGTGCACCATCAGCATTCCATGTGCAAAGGAACGTGCAGTGCTCGGGATGCAATAGATATGTATATAAAATACTCAGCCCGATGCTTTGCAAAACTTGAAAGGTAATCTTTTAATATCACATATTCTCCCATCTCTATGGAAAAAGATAAACATGATACATTTACCAAATATACATTTAGATACACATGAAATAAATGAATTGAATTTGTGTAGAAATGGCAAAGTCCACTTTGCTGCTAACCCACCCATCGATACAAAAGACACTCTTTCAGAAGATTCTGCTAAGGTTAGAATGAACCATGTCCATGCAGAGCTGTTGTAAATTACATTACACTTTAAATACACGTTGAGCAGTCCTTTCTTCATTTAACAACCCATTGTCCCTGGTATTGTCATGACATTACCACACGAGAATACATACTACAGTCTTATAGAGTTATAAGAAACTATCATATATTTCAATTATAATACATGTTTTTACAACCAAGGTTTTGAGTGCCTGATATGAGCAATAAACAATATTTATAAAGGTCCACAAAGAGATATAAGAATGTGTTAAATGAAATTATTGAATTGAAATAGCCGTTGATGCAATATTAGAAGTTTATCTGAAAGGCTGGACAATGTGTTGAACAATACAATGATAAATGCATAGCATCTGGAGTGAGAAAAATACTTATCATGTCCCATACCTTTATACCGAGACTGATCTCTTACACTGTGAGCCCAGATTAATTCTAGTTATAAAAACAGCCATCACCTCATGATCTCTTCAATAGTCCATTGTAGAAAGAAAAACATATTCCATCTTCCTCTGATTTTCAATTTCTTGAAAACTCCCCTGAAAAGTAAAAATGTCCAGAATATGCTCCATACATCTGTGCTTCTTTTGTTACATTGGAAAAGCTCAAGTTCAGTTTTATCTTGTGGTGGAGCAAGTCTCAGGTGTTTGTGTAAGTGCTAGTCAAAAATCGGATGTTTATCCTGAATTATGCATGGCTTTTTTTTTTGTACAGGAAGAGCACCCTGAATCTATTTTTGACCACTTATCATCAATGTGTAGACTTGGGTAGGTCTGGTGATTGTCTCTTTCTGTTCTCAGGGGTCAATATGGAAGGCTAGGAGTTTCTCGGAGTGCTGGTTGTTGAGGGTACGGAGGTCAGGCAGCCGCAGCAGGAGTTTGGGGAAGAGTGAGCTGTCCTCCGGCCTTCGCCGAGTGATGAGAGTGCGAAGAGCGCCGATCAAATCCTCCTGGAGCTGCTCTACGGCCCCCACATCTGAGATACCTGAACGATCTGATATGGAGCAAAATAATGAGTAAACATTTAGTGGACGTAAACATTACAGCTATGTCTCAAACTCTAGTAAGCTGCCTCGCTGTCTGTCTATACAATCAACTACCTCAGACAACTAGCTCAGTATTAAAAACATACTTCAAATATTGCTAGCATATGGATAATTCTCTCAATTACAGGGAATCCAAGGTACCTGCAGAAACCAGCACCACAGCCATGAAGAGGGCCATCTCATTGGCCTCCAGACCCATGTTCCCCAGCTTCTCACTGAACTCAAACATGGCGTCCAGAAGGCCACCCATGCCTAGCACTCGCAGGGATGCCAATGGGTAGGTCTGACCATTTAGGAATGTTACAGTACGTTCCTTGGCATCAAACAGTGAGCAGAACCTCACCATTAGAACCTGCAATGAACCAAAGTAAGGGTTAGAAAAATAACATCAAATAAACTGTTCAAGATTTGACAATAACTCATAAGGCATTGCACTGCACACATTTTGCTTTCAGACTTTAATTACGGAGTAATAATAAAGAAAAACAAATATGTAATGATATTGGTCTCAGAGTCTTGCACAGTCTGTAAATATTCATCCATAACATTGATGAATAAATATTCATCAATACATAACATTGTATGCGAAACTTAACAAACTGCTTGGGAAATCCGATTCATGTACAAATTAGTTTAAATCAAATCTTTTCAATTACTCAATTGAACCAGCTTACAGAATTGGTCTGAACTGAATGTTCTTTGCTCAGGGTTGCATAAACAGTGATATGCTCCTATATACCAAAATGATTTATGGCAGACGGTCGAAGGACTGTGTGATGATACACTTTTTTCATTGATTGATTTTTTATTAATTTATTATTTTGAAAGAATTCAGACAGACTTTCCATCACTACATCACTGCCTTCTTGTGATAGAGACCCCATACAGCACGTGTCAAACTCCGGTCCTGTAGGACCACTGTCCTACAAATTGTAGCTCCAACCAGCTCCAAAACACCTGCCTGGAAGCTTCTAGTAATCCTGAAGACCTTGATTAGCTGGTTCAGGTGTGTATATTTAGGACTGGAGCTAAACTCTGCAGGACAGTGGCTCTCCAGGAACTGAATTTGACACCCCTGTCATATAAGGTCATGGAGGAAACATTCTCAATTTGTTTGTTCAGTCTTAAGCATATGCGTCTAGTCTAGGACAGTCTGATTGACGCTTCTCACCTGAAAGGTTCCTGCCTTCAGCAGCATGACCTGATCATGTTGACTCAGGGCCTGAAACCCTGGAATGCTCTTGGCAAATTCAACCACTTCTTTAACAGCTGGAGTGAAGCACTGGGAAAAACTCTCCCAAACCTGTTGACTGGAGTGACTGGCTGGGGAGACGGGACATGCACTGAGAGGACATGCCTAGAGAAATACAGAAAGAAACCATTTTTTCATAAATTTGAGTTATAGAAAATAGTAACTTAAGACCTGCAACAAATCATATGCCATCAAAATAAGAAATAAAAAAAAAACCTACCAGAACTTTAGCACCAGGGCTCAGTCTCCAAGGACAAGATGTTTGAGTGGAATAATTGTTGTGTTTCAATGGATAGCTTTGAGAAGGTGTAGTTCCCTGGTTGGGACTTGAGGACTGTGGGAAGTTATACTGACTGTTGTCCATAACTTGTGTTTTTGGTTTGTTGTCGTGATTGGTGACCGGGCATCTGGATCGGTGTAGACAGCTTGTTGTGGAATGGATGGAATGTTCTTGGGGTAAGATGCTTGGCTGAGAGTTAGACTGGCTGTAGCCGGACTCTTGTATTGGATTATGACGGAAGGAAGAAGGATTGTTGTTACTGTTGTTGTTTTCGTTATTAATCTTTACTAACAACTTCTCCCCATTCACAAAGATATTGCGATAAGCTTGTGAGGCAGCGCCAATGGCCTCTTCTGACTGGCCATCTTCAGGGCTGGAAGGAGTCTCGGTGGGTGTAGTACAGGTGATGTCCATGGAAGCTGATTCATTAAGGCTGTTCATGTAACTCTGCATTTCGTCCAGTAGGCGTTGTTTCTCACGCTTTGGGATGCGTCCAAATCGCACAGCTGGAAGAAATGGGGGTATAAATATTACTATACAGAATGGTGATATACAAAGGTTTCCATTATCTTACAGCTTTACAATAATTCAATGTGGTATGAGATATGAGAGGCTGCGCTGTACTGTGAATATAGTAACGGCTAAAAGGAATTGTTAGACGTGCAGTGGAGTAGTTTTATTGACAATAGCAAAACCTTGATTGCCTTACTGATTTATAAAATGGCCATTAAATACAAATTATTCATTAAAAACTTCCTGTAGCCCAAACAGGGGGCAGTTGTGGCCAATTGGATAGAGAGTCGGACTTGTAACCCGAAGGTCGCGGGTTAATCAAATCAACTAGTTGGGGGAGTGAATGTACAGTGCTCTCTTCCAGCCTCAAAACCTACGACTGAGGTGCCCTTGAGCAAAGCACCTAACCCCCAAACAGACACACAAAAAATGGGCTGCATGTGGACGGTGTGCATGGACATCAGTGCGCAGTACTGATGATGAACATTATGTCACATAGACAGGGATGTTTAAAAGGGAAGCATACTTTTGGCCTAAGGTTAACAGTTGTCCGTGATGGATGCTGTGCAATGGAATACAGTACACAGTAGTGAGAGGTTCTTGTTTTAGTTTACTACCTTACATTTACTCATTTGGTAGATGGTTTTACTATATGATGTACTTTAGAACAGCAGGACCGCTGTATTGACAAATCAGCATTCAGTTTTATAAAAGACATGAAATCAGATTACATCCCAGTGGCCACCAAGCTTTCATATTAGGCTACGGCTCATATGCAAAGCTTCTGTTCTACCTCCCCCACATTTTTCCCATCCAATCTCCCCCTACTCTACCTCTCAGAGCTATTTATAGATCCTTCTACTGTATAATACACCTCCCCCTCTCTCTCGCTGTGTCTCTATCCCATTGGGAAGTGGGTCAGTGGGTCACCCGAAGCAGAGGTGATGTCACTGAGGGAATGAGAGATGGAGTAAATGACAGCAGGTGAAACAGATACTGTCATGAGTTAAAGGCTTAGCAGGTTAAGGGTGTAAAGGGCAGAGAGGAGAAGGCATTAAAATACTTAAATGGTGAAACGTTGTAGGGCAGAGGATCATGATATGATGATAAGGAGCACCAAGTGTTGAGCAATGTGAGGTGCTTTCAGCAAGAAAGGTTAGGTTAAAACTGGTAAGATAAGCACTAATGCAAAACTAGGTCTATAGGTCTGTAATATAAAAATCATTTGAGGGCTTTTTGTGTTTAGAGGTGTCATATAGCACCATCACGTGAAGGCGTGGAGCAGTGTAACAGGAGATGTCAAGGTTTCAGGTGACAAGTGCAATGACATAATATAATGGAGGACGAATACAGCATCGATAATTCAGTAAGCGACATACAGTATTAGCTACAGTTTTTACATGCAAGGACACCACAACATTATAGTACCCTGAAAAAGTTAAATCCATGAAAGTTATTAATATGTTCATAATCTTTCAAATGAATTTGAAATCTAGTGTAATTACAGTGTGAGTGGGGAGGGAGGAAAACAAGGTCAAGTACAATCATGTGACGTTGAAATATGATGGTGCACATCACTTTACTTTTCCGCTTTTTAGGTCACCTAAATATGTACACTAGCCCCAGAAAATATGATTTATTATCAGCCTAGTTTACAAAGCTCCCCAGAGGCAACACTGTCCTGTATGGGCAAAGTGTGCTAGAGGACAAATCAAAAAGATATTTTAGTATGCTTATAAACTGCATTCAATTGAAATAAAAGGCTCTTAGCTTCTGGGTTACATCTACAAAGAACTTTATTAAATCCCAGCTAGCATTTGGAGCTTAATTAATCCTGCAGTACAGCAAACGAAGACCTGGAAACACATTAAACTGCAGTGTACTAGGTTCTCATGTCATTTGTATCCCCAATTCCCCAAATTAACCTGATTTGCTGCAGTTTTTACAGTGAGTGATGACTTGTGGGATTTCAGAGAGCCCACACTAATAAATCAGTGGTGAAAGGAAACTGTCAGAACAGGGTGTAAGCTATAGGTGTAAACAGTACAGAACAGATGGTGGATGTAGGGTTGAGGAAATATAAAGGAGAATTGAATGCATGTTTTAAATATACTGTAGTAGTGAGGTCACATTAGCAAATTTTTGCAGGCAAAAAAGGTTCATTGTCTACTGCCAATAGTGTAGCGATGCATGAAATGTCACTTTATGTTGGTTAACATATCATATTTGTGCTATGAACTTGAACCGGACACAAAATCTGCTGGCAAATTTTTTTGCCCTCTCTTTAAACTCCAGATTTGCAGATTCTAACTGAAATGATCACTAGATTTTTAAAGTGAAACTTTGCATTATGCAGTTGCTAATTGATACTGAGCATTTTTATTATGTTGCTGAGCAGTTGCTGGGGTGTTGCATGTGGATGTTAAGTTGGTTCTTACTGGCTTAAGGCCAACCAGTCCAATTCTTGTCTGATTGCTTAGAAAAGTGCAGTTACTAGGGTGAACTGGGAGGTTACTAGAACATTGCTAGGTGGTTGTTTAACAACAGCATTCCTAACAGTAAGTATGTGTAGCAAGACTGATATTCCCCCTAGCAAACACTGTAAATAATGTAGTCATATCAAGAATAATAACGTTGTTTATTGTTCATAACTGAATGTTTAAAGCTCATACCATCTCTGGACATGCCGACAGAGAGGCACTTCTTAAATCGACAGTGCTGACAGCGATTGCGGTTCATCCTCATGATCAGACAGTTTTCATTCTTCACACACATCTTATAATGGATGTTCTGCTGGATACTGCGGCGGAAGAAACCCTGAGGATAACACAAGATCAGAGTGAATGTGTGTGTTTCTGTAGGTGTGTGTGTGTGTGCGCGTGTAAAACATCAGGCACATGTGAACGGTTTCAGACCGACACTGAACACATCAGTTATGCATTTTGAGGGTATTTTATGAGCAAGCAGTGTGCATTTGAGTGTGTATGTGTGTGTCCTTACCTTGCATCCCTCACATGCATGGACACCATAGTGAAATCCTGATGCAATATCCCCACATACTTTGCAAAGCAACACCATACCTCCTGTTTCTAGTAACACAAATTGGCAACAATACGTTAGCAGTGGTCGGTGGTCACCGAATTTGAGACAATATCAAGAATGACTCTGATAATACTCACTGGTAAAGGTACCCGTGAACCCACTTGGTCGCCTGCCGACCATTGGGTGAGAATAGGTGTTTTGCCCTGATGATGTTACAGTCGGGGTAACGGGGTTGACAGTGGTAGCACTGCTTACTTTTGGAAATTGGAAAACCAGTTTGTTGCCCCCTGTAGAACTGACATTGCTTCCAGCTGAACGTTTTCTAAGGGTGCCGAGCTCAGTGAAAGAGACCTCCTCCGGGGACGAGGGTTGAGAGAGTTGGGAGTTGGGAGACTGGGTCTGGTATCCACTGGATGGGCTTCCTGGGCTGGGGCTGGGGCTGGGACTGGGGCTGGCGCTTCCTGTTGAGCCTGCATAGAGAATCACTCCTCCACCTGTGTGTGTGAAGGAAAAGAATATTACATGAGGGCAAGCTGGTCTTGTTATGGTTTATATCTAGCTCAGTCATGAAACTCCAGATTGTGCAGACTGATAGATCCTTAATGAAATCTGCTAGTTATCAAATCGTTCACTACATGGCGCAACCAGATTGGTCTTGTACATCAGCAGCCAATGAGATTGCTTGCTCAACATTTACATAGTCTGGTTCAGTGTTCACTGTAAAATCACTCCTCAGAAACCCTCCACCTCCCTTAGCTCCACCTGTCTAGATCTGCTATGGGTAATTTTATGTATGCTATTTACACAGCATAGCTACATACTCACAGCAGCATGTCTGCATATGTAATGCCAGTAACAAGTCTTTGTACTAGCGGCAGCAGCAACAACAGCAGCAGCAGCACCATAGCAGATCTAGTTTGCCAATACCAGATATACATTAACATTATCCATAAACACACTAAACTACCCTGAGAGTTGTCATAATAGAAATATCTCTATTTACTAATTTATAGGCCTGTGGAGAATCTGCAGAATTGGAATGTCTTAATTTACAACTTTCTTTATATCCCCTGCACCTTACACATTTGTTTATTAAATATTGTGACTAATTTCAACTACCAATAAGAATGTATAGTCGCATCTCAGTTTTACAAATTTTGCATGTTTAAATCCAATCTACAGAATTCCACAAATTTGTCATTTAGTTGAGGCTTTTATGCAAAATGGCTAATCGCCTGTTATTTCTGATGCGTAATATCTTGGTTAAAGATGCAATGTAGAGTTTGAATCATTTAAAGGTCTACTATTAACTGAATGGGAACTTGTAATCTGTTCATAGGGGTGTGGATGTGGTCTATACACAAACTGATTTCTATGTAAACTCGGAAATGTCTCACGTTTGAATCCTCTGCTAGCTATTCTCAGTCTGTCATCTCATCCTTCATCATGAATCACATGTTTCAGACCGCGCCAGTGGAAGGCTCAAACGTGAGAAATGAGCCAGGATGAGCCAGACTGACTCACGTGTGCAAGTGCAACGTTGGAGTATCGGATTTATTTCAGGAGAGTCGGTTCAATTCAGTGATTTGAGCCGTTTGAGGTTGGTCTCCAAAGAGTGTTCAAATGAATGCATGCTGAATTTCACAAGTGTGTGTTAAATACTCCTTAAGTCGCGTTGTGTCCATTGTGTAGGTACAGCTTCAAAGTTATTTCTTACAGTGCATGCTACTACACATACTAACCTTCCCAAGCACGTTAAACCGAATGATTAAAAAGAACCGACTCAAAAGAACAATTTGTTTGCGAATCGTAAACAGGAGAACTTCCACACCCCCACCACACGCGCTGCTCGCTCCTCTGGCGGCGCTCCAGTCAGAGCTGCCAGCCACCTGACCGCCGACTCACATGCTCTCCTGACACAGTGAACGCCCCGAAAATACAAGCCTCTTTCCGCAGTCCCGTGTCTAGAACAGCCGCAGTACGAGAGAAAAAAAAAAAAAGTCATAAACTGCCAGCCTGCTGCTCACGTTTGAAGAGGGCTTAAAACAGTAACCAAGACATGTTTATAATACTTGAGTCGCCAGAAATGCGTGCATGCATGAACGTGCCCGGTCACGTTTACTCGACATATGAGCTTATATATATATATATATATATATATGAAATATAGATAACTACATAACTCCAAATTTAATTCCACCCGAAATAAACACTGTTTTCACGACCATTGTGGCATTTTATGGGATACACATACAATTTCCCTGAATACCATGACACGAAACCTTTCCTTGGGTGTAATGTGTCTCGCATGCATATGGGTGAAAGTGAGTCAGTTTAAGAATTAATAAATGAACGGGTTAATTAATTATTTTGTCTGAATTTGCCCTTTTGTGGAATCTGCCATGAAAACAAACCTCCCACTCGAAAGCAATAATGATAACAACTGATAGATGTAGACATGAATACTGTGTTCATTTGATATGCAAGGTAAATTTAAATAGGCTATAATCACTTTGTGAATGGATTTAAACCACAATAGTATAAACTTACTTTTCTATGTAGTTTTAAAAAATGTCTATGTAAAAAAAGTTAAATGTTCAAAAAATGTTATACAGGTTGGAAGGACATGAGAGTGATTAAAAGATGACAGAGTCCCTTTAACTATCCCTTTAAGTAAATTCCATTTTCACTGATTGGCAGGAGAGCTTTCTCAGTTGGGAGGCTTTGATTTCTTGTTTCAAGGTTTGTTCAGAGAGCTGGATGTCCTCAGATATGTGCTGTTGCTGAAAAGCCAGTCAGTATTGCTATATCTTCTTGGAGACAACACACATGTGCAGTATAACTTATGCAAATTTCACAAATTAACAACTATTACTATTATCGTTCACTTTTTAATAATTTATTTGTAACATCATCCCTTAAAGGAATAATAAAGTGTTCATAACGCATCAGAATTAAGGAACACTATCAGATGTTGTACTGGGGCAATGCACGTGTGTGTTTAAATATGCGAGTTACACACTTGTCACAGCTTGAGCTTTGTTTGTCAAACAATTTTCACTCAGAAATTGCTAGTAAATATTCCACATAATTACAAGTAACACACTGAATCCAATAATCTTTCATTTACATCTTAGAAAAATACTTTTATATAGTGCACATGAGCCATTCATGACCTTAAAAGTGGCATCTTCTATCACATAAAAGTGTGCTTGCTGTAAACATATGAGTTTAACAGAGATCATGCAGGCAGAGAAGAAAGAGCTGAGCTCAGATCTGTGCCTCTTTGACTTTGACCCACTGACCAGCCTCCCTCCCATCAGAGGCTGGATGACACACAAGCTGCCGGAACAAAAACACAAGCAAGGAGGGGGTGTGTGCCTGGGAAATCACGCGTGGCACGTGGAGTTTGAAGTTGATCCTCGTGACAGTGAAAGTGAAAATCTGTCTGTATGAATGCCACTGTGCCCTGACATCATCATGCCTGATGACATGGAAAACGTGCAGGTGGCAAACTGAGCGCTTTCTTAGAAATCACTGCCACCAGATTCACAAAAAAACATACTGGATAGGACGTTGACAGCACAGCTGTGTTTCCAGAGATCTTGATATGTTAGATTTAAATGTTATAACATACTGATGGTTGAACCTTACAGCAAATGATAGCCTGTGATAACAATATAGCCTACAAGAAATGAACAGTGTTGAAATTTAGGGCCTACTGAGTTATTGTGTTAAGTATGTATCATTATTATATTAAATGCCAAAGCTTATTATATTATCGTATATAGATTACCTTTTTATCACTTTATAATAAATAACTTGAGATTAGCCATCTAAAAACATTTTATTGTCTCATAAGGAAAGACCATGTGATGCTTGTAAATAAAATGGGTTTATTGCCTGCTGTGCCGTATAGGCCTAGCTAAATGTTGTATTACCGACTGAGTTTCCTTTCAGGATAAATGATCGTTATCTTCTCACATGTTCATGAGCAGTTATTGACATGCACGATCGAGCACGTGTTCGAGTGAATGTAAAGGCTATAGATAATGACAATCAGTCACCGGCGCACGAGCGTGACTTGGTTAATGAATCACAGTATGAGCACAAGTAACCTGGTCGAAAAGAAAAACCTTGACTGTAGTAGCCAAGGTTGGGTTTGGATTTTACCCACCCCCCATACTTGAGACGGGTGCTAAATTGCAAACGAAACGGAACAGAATTAGGCTAGATCTTTTCTTTTTTATGATTGCAACTTAGGAACCAGTCACTGGGCCGGAGGTCACGCCTCGAAACCAAACACGATTAATATATGATGCGTCATGATGTAGGGTCTACTGGGAAGAGCGCACTGCACGTGAGTTTGTTTACGTGCAACGCGAGACCGGAAATATTTGGAAAAGCATTGGTAGTCTGTTAGGCAGGCTCGCCATATAGTCAAAAAAGTATTTGTTATTAATTGCAGCGTGCGGATACTAAAAAAGCATCGTTTTTTTTTTTTTTTTTTTGTAAAATTATAAACATGTCATATAATGTTATTTAATTACAAATCTTGACAGTCAAGCGTGTATTCATTTTACACCCAACCTCAATACCAATATATTCGTGTCACCATTTTCTAAAGTTAAACAAGATATTAAAGTAATGACAAAGTTATCTAAAATACCTAAACGGGTTAATAAAACAATACTACCTATAGCCGTGCAAATAATTTACCTAAATTAATGAATGTTTATAGGCAATACATTGTTTTTAACTCACCTGGACTGCAGTCCATGGTGTCTGTTCCTGATGCTGATGAAGGAAATGCAAGTATCTGAGTCGGGTCCATAATTTTCAGCGAGTTTCAAATTCCGTCCACACAGGTGAGAACTTCAAGAAGTCTGTTAGGAAATGTCTCGAGAAAGAAGCCGACACTCTAATGTCAGATGTCCTTCAGGTAAGCAGGGCAATGTGCCGTCCTCACTCTTTGAAAGATGTCCTTAAAGATTGTATCGTGTACATTACAGTAGCGCTTTCCTTCAAAAAGTCGTTCTCCAAGGCAGAGCTGCGTAACTAATTTGGGACGTGCACAAGCATCACACAAATAAACGCCGAACACGTTTGCAGGTGTCTTAAAAATGTGACTGAGCTTTTCCCCCACTATTCCCCCCCCCCCTTTCTTTGCCCTTTAAATAGTTTGTGTTATTGTATGGCAAGAACTGTGTCCACACGCCCTCTTTCTTTCCTTCCCAGTCACGCTGCTGTAGTAGAGCTGCTGTCCCTTCCTCCTGCCTCCTCCTCCTCTGCTCTCAGTGGCAGATGACGGCGCGTGGACTCGTTTGCTATCGGAATGCCTGCTGCATGCGCGAGCTGCATGTGAGCTGTGCCCTACTGACACACATTTTATGCAAATTAGCACTGCTCTGATGAGGGGGAGGAGAGCCGTGGGGGGAAGCACATGTAGAGGAGGAGGAGCACACCGTGACTGCTGTTTACTTACTTCCCTCCAAAGCTTTATTGCTGGAGATCCTCCTCTCTACAGCACGCACGACTGATAGGCTTGGAGCCATCAAGGGCTTTGCCCGTCTGAACACCACATCAAACAGCCTGAACACATGGGGCTGTCTGTTCTCAAAGGCATCCTGAGGATCTCACGTTTTCTGACCTGCATCACACTGGTTTGGATGTGCCTAAATTAGAGACCCATATTTGATTGAACAACCTGAAAAAAAATTGGTGTATGGAGAATCCTAACTAAACATTGATGGGGTTACAAAAGCATGTTACACCATGTACCTGCCCCCCTGTGAACTTAGTTAACATTCATCTATAGGCCTACGTAGAGTATACATTTTACTGTATGTGGTCTTTCATAAAAGACCAACTTGTGTGATGACACATACTGTATGTGTCATCTTTGGTGC